TGTAGAGGATCTCAAGCTATACGCAATTTCCCTGGGATAAAGGAAACACTCTTAGCATTTAGGACCCATCAGAAGTGAGCACCACCAACAGCAAGCACAGAACACGCAAGACACTGAACTTGTTGACTACATGGAACCCCTTTGTATCAAAACATCCTTTGATTTGTGAAACTGAAACAGTAACGTATGTTAAGTGCTCCAGTGTTCTGTGTGGCCCATTTTCCTGCCTACAACATAAGACCATTACATATACCTGTTTTCCAAAATTTGACCCTTAATTCAAGGCCGCACAGGACCACAGTGGTTAGCAGTCCTGCCCTACAGCACTGGGGTCCTGGGTTCAATATCTGGGGTGCCACCCGTGTGGAATTTTTTAATTTTTCCCTGTATTCACGTAGGGTTTTGACAGGTGCTCTGCCCATAGTCCAAAGAAAGTCCCTGGTGTGTGTGTGTGTCCTGCAATGGACTGACGTATCCCTACTTGCACATGTTCCTTATTAAGATAGGCTCTGGCTCCCCCGCAACCACGTTTAGGATAAAGCATTTGAAAATGAATGGGCAGATAGATCCTCAACTCAAATGTTGCATTTACATTTTCTCAGCTCATTGGGTAAGCATGGATTGTGATCTCTTAACTATAATTAACCATTAAACAATGGTCATATCTTTACACATTCCCTGCACCCCTAATGGGACCTTTAATGAAGTAATTGGGGATCACAGTTTAACTTTTCCAAAGGACATCTTTTTTAAGTTTCTTGGGTACTAAATTAATTCCTAGTTAAACATTGCATGAAAGAATATAAAATGTGGAATATTCAATTTTCTCACTGTATGTGCACTATTTTTTCTAAATCAATGACCTGCATTATTCGACATACTGCCAAAATGCTGTAAAGGGGAGTTGTGATTGTCACAAATTCACCATATTTTATTTTAAATTTATGTTTTTCCCTTACTAACCTGAAAATTCAGACAATCAAAACCATAAAACCTCACCCCATATTTCAGTTATATCCAAACCCTAAGGGAGTTAAAACTAAAAGAAAAAAGCATAAAATTAGAATTAACCTACAGTCCAGGGGAAAAAAATAACAGCCTTAAATAAAGAAGGCAAACTCTTCCCTTGTGCAAATTAAAGTGTCAGATGGTTTTACTAAAGAAAACTCATCTCAAAAATTAAAAATGTAAGCAGTTTCAGCAGAAAAACTCGAGTCGCATGTCCAGACACCAACTCCAAAAATCCAGTTTCATTTCCAAAAGCGGCACGCCTACCACCGTCCCAGAAGACGGCCTACTGGTGTCAGCATTTTGCCACCGTTGTCATTTTTAAGAAGGAGCCTATATTAACACCAGCACCTCACATCAAACAGTCAGCTCAGTTCTGTTCCTTACACTTCATCACACTGATGTCAAAGGAAATAAAGCACCTTCGGATATGGAGTTGCTTAAGATGGCATTTAGTTTTAAGATTAGCCTTTAGATTTCCACGTTATCGGGATGACGATGACGAGGAACTGTTGATTACATGACCAGACAACACTATTGATCAAATATTTTGTCACACAATGTTCTCAAAACCACTGTTTTTGTTTAAAACTGCTTTCACCTTGCTTTTCAATTAAAGTGCATTACCAGGTCAGTAAAAACAATCATAAAACTTCAACCCACTGCCTTCCCATCCAGCCATGTATAATTGAATTTTATATTTTACATTTAGAGTGAATTAACCAGTTAAGCATTTTAAAGTGCAACACATGAAAACTTCAGACTTGTCATGAAGGAGTAAAACACTTAACTCCAGTTTTATAGCAGTCCAAATCTAACATCTAAACCTTTCTATATTCTCTCTCTAAAGGGTAACCAGAGATTTCTTTAAGGTCTCAAGAGACAGCTGAGGAGCACAGGCCTATCTACTGTGGTAGATAAAACCTTACACCTTGCTATCACTGAGCCATTGGCTGCTTTGTTGTCATATGAATGCTGCCCTGGCCTTAATGCACAACGTGAATCCAGGATATCAATAATGGTTGGCCTGGAATACATTACATCTCACAATAATAAGATATCCAATTTCTCAGTCATTTGAAACTACCCAACTGCTTTGTAGTCCTAAAAATTGCAACTGAATGTGCAAGAAAACCAGAGACCAGTCTGGACAGCTTGTGTGAATGAAGTAGTGGAACTTCGACGAACAAAATTTCAAACTTCGACTCCGAGTCACTTATCTACAAAAACAGACAATGCAAACGTCTGAATATCATGTAGTGTAAAGAATTATGTAGTATTTGGCAATTTTTAATACATATCCATATGCCACATAACAAGCAACTGCTGTAGATGGCAAATGTGCATTAAAAGACTCAAATCAGAAATAAAAAACAAATAAGTCTAAGTGTACTAAGCCTTGATGTGAACAGCAAAATATTACTATGATAGTTACAAACTTAACCCCGTTCAGTTATAACTATGCTCCACCCTTTGACAGTGTGATTCAGCAACATTTACCATGAAGCGAAAACATCCATTTTCTAACCGTTTTATTCAATACGGGGTCATGAGGGAGCTAGAGCCTATCTCAGCAAGCAACAGACACGAGGCAGGATACACCCTGGACAGGACTCCAGTCAATCATACAAATACCCACACTCACACCAGGGGCAATTTTCCCAGAAACCAATTAGCCTACCAACATGTTTTTGGACTGTAGGAGGAAACTTGAGCACCTGGAGGAAACCCACGCAAACCTGGAGAGAACATACAAACTCCCCACAGATAATGCCCCAGGAACTGAACCCAGGGCCTCAGCACTGCAGGGCACCAATGCTAATCACTGCCCCACCATGCAGCCCTGGAGATTACAATGCAATCTGAAAGCCTTATTTGAGTAAACAGTTTTTGTTAACACACAAAACTATTACAGGAATAATCTGGAGGGCAGGAAACTTCTCCCATCTCATTTCTTTTTTTTGTTGGTTTTTATCTCCTATAAAGTAATGACCTGTTGTGAACTACAAGTGTTTAATCCAACTGATTGATTAAACTAGGAGCCTACATCACACAGCAGCAACATGCTGAGCCAAAAGAGCAAAGCTTCAGAAAAATAATGGATACTTTTTCATAGCACGCAAATAAAAAAAGACATTTTACATATATACTCCCAATGACCTATTATTGAAACTAAGGTCTTTAAAAGTTGCCTAAAAAGCGATTTAAAGGTCAGCTGTTATCCATAACCAGTTTCCTTGCTGAAAATGTAATACATTTTAAAAAACAACATCCATCACCAGTAAACCACTTAGGGTATCAGCTCCAAGGTAATCTGGAAGTGAAGGACACAGGACAGGATAAGCTACAAGTTCAGGGCACAAAAGGACCATTTCAAGAGCACGATAAACTTGCCCAGCATGTGATGGGGAGTAAGAGGAAACTAGAGCAGAGAAGTATATGTGAACCTGGGGGGAACATGCAAACTCCTCACCAAAAGTGCACCACACCAGCATGAAACCAGACCCCAGGGGGTGAGGCAGCAGCA